AAAACGTATCAATAGCACGTTGTGCCAATCTATTTTCCTCGTTTAACTTTGCACCCGCACTGCGCCGGCGCATGCAGGCGCCACCAGCGTTTCCCCGCCTCCTCTCGCGCTCTTCAGGCTGTGACCATCCGTATGTAGTGCTTCTCTCTTTTTACCTACTGTTTTTGGTTCGCTCCCCCCCGCAGGTCCGAGGGTTCGCTCGAGGGCATTGGCACTTCGACGCGAACTCGTCCGCATTGCCGAGTTGCCGAGGAGACGGAGGAGGGGGAAGAGGAGGAGGAGGAGGAGGAGGAGGAGGAAAAGGAGGAGGAAAAGGAGGAGGAGGAAGAGGAGGAGGGGGAGGAGGGGAGGAGGAGAGGAGGAGGAGGAGGAGGAGGAGGAGGAGGAGGAGGAGGAGGAAGGAAGGGAGGAGGAGGAGGAGGAGGAGGAGGAGGAGAAGGAGGAGGAGGAGGAGGACGAGGATGAGGAGGAGGAGGAGGAGGAGGAGGAGGAGGAGGAGCAGCAGGAGGAGGAGGAGGATCAGGGGAAGGTGGAGGAGGAGGAGCAGGACGAGGAGGAGAGGAGGAGGAGGAGAGGAGGAGGAGGACGGAGAGAAGGAAAAGGAGGAGAGGAGGAGGAGGAGGAGGAGGAGACGGAGGAGGAGGAGGAGGAGGAGGAGGAGGAGGAGGAGGAGGATTCATGAAAAGGAGGAGGATGAGGGGAGGAGCCGCGGAGAACACGAGGGGGAGGAACAGGAGGAGAGGAGGGAGGGCGAAAGGATGATGATCATGATGATGATGATGATGAGGGAGGAGGGGAGGGAAGGAGGAGGAGGAGGAGGAGGAGGAGGAGGAGGAGGAGGAGGAGGAGGAGGGGAGGAGGCGGAGGAGGAGGAGGAGGAGGAGGAGGAGAAGGAGGAGAGGAGGAGGAGGAGGCGGAGGCGAGGCGGGAGGAGGAGGAGGAGGAGAGGAGAGGAGAGCAGGAACACAGCAGGAGGAGGAACAGGTGTGGGAGAAGGACGACGAGGAGGGGGAGAGGAGAGGAGGCGGAGGAGGAGGAGGAGGAGGAGGAGGAGGAGGAGGAGGATGAGGAGGAGGAGGGGGAGGGGGAGGAGGATGATGAGGGGGAGGAGGAGGAAGACGAGGAGGAGGAGGATGAGGATGAGGAGGAGGAGGAGGAGGAGGAAGAGGAACAAGAGGAGGAGGGTGACAAAGAGGAAGAGGAGGAGGAGGAGGAGAAGGAGGAGGAGGAGGAGGATCAACGATGTTGAAATCAACCCTCCCTCCAAGCTCCCTCTTCATAGGGCCCTACAACGTGTCATTTCCATTGAGGGAACTGCCTCGTTAGACAACCGTTTGAATACCCTGAAGCATGCCAAAACATTGTTCTCGGGATCCCAACGCCACGGATCAACTTGACTGTTGCGTCTCCACGATCCGGAATCGTGCCAGAATGTTCCTCTTTGGGGTTTCAACACCGCGAGTCAACATAATTGTCGCACCCGTTTAATCTTGAATCCTTCCAACACGCCATTTTTGTTACGTTGATCCTGGGAATCCTTGAAACCCTTGTAAATGTTTAAGACGAATGTGCGTGGCGTCGATGCGAGAGCCTCATTTTGACAAGGAGCCGCCCTCAATCAGCGAATTTGCAAATGTTTAAAACGAATGTACGCGGCGCTAAGGCGAGAGCCACATTTTGAAAGCCACCCGCCCTCAATCCGTGAAGCTCTTGCAAATGTTTGAAACGAGAGTGCGCGGAGCCAAAACGAGAGCCACATGTTGAGGATCCCCCGCCCTCAATCCGTGAACATTTTGCAATTGTTAAAAAAACGACTGCGCGAGGCTTTAAGGCCAGAACCACATTTTGAAAACCACCCGCCCTCCATCTGTGAAACTGTTGCCACTGTTTAAGCTTCAGAGTCATCAGGGTGAGGGGGCCCATTCATTGTCCCTGGGTGCGTGGCTGAATAAAGAACTCGTGGTGAGAATCCGACTTGTTGCGTTGTTGTGGTTGTGGTTGTGGTTGTGGTTGTGGTTGTGGTTGTGGTTGTGGTTGTTGTGGTTGTTGTTGTTGTTGTTGTTGTTGTTGTTGTTGTTTTTGTTGTTTGTTGTTTGTTGTTTGTTGTTTGTTGTTTGTTGTTTGTTGTTTGTTGTCGTCGTCCCACCCGCGACCCACCCTGCGACCCAACCCGCGACCCACCCCGCGACCCACCCCGCGACCCACCCCGCGACCCACCCCGCGACCCACCCGTCACCCAACCCGCGACCCAGTTTGCGACCCACTTTGCGACCCACCCGCGACCGACCCCGGATCCACCGCGACCCACCCCGCGACCCGCCCGCGACCCATCCCGCGACCCATCCGCGACCCATCCGCGACCCACCCGCGACCCACCCCGCCACCCACCCGCGACCCACCTCGCTTCAAGCTGACGGGGTCCCGCAAGTCTTCCGTCGCTCTCGGGCACCCGTGGGGGGCCTTGCTCGGGCCCCCTGCGACCGACAGGCAGGATGAACGGACGAACCTCGGGGAAAGCGAGGAGGAGGTGGAGGAGGAGGACCAAGAACGGACAATAAAAAGCAGGCATCGCATGTCTAGTCTGGGAGGCGCTCTCGCGGTGCGCGGCTCCAGGTACCCAGTCGTCGGCGCCCTTTTTGCCCCCCTGGGGGCGCCAGCAGTCCGCGCCGTGCCTCCGCGAGCAGCATCACAGATAGGGGTCTTCGGCGGGCGCATCTGGCGTGCCGTCGTTGAGCTCTTGGCGACCAGCGCGGGTGCCGGGCATTTCGGAGGGAGGCATTTCAAGGGAGGAAGAGCCACCCGGACTGGACCATTGGCGTTTGCTAGACGGGCTTGGGCGTTGTCTAAACAGCCCTGCCCTGTTCGATTTTTTGGTGCGTTTACTAAACGGCTTCGCTTGTCGGGGTGATTATTATGCGGTGGATTTTCTGCCCTCTACGCCCGCGACCCACCCGCGACCCAACAGCGACCCACCAGAGACCCACCCGCGACCCACCCGCGACCCATATGCGACCCACCCGCGACCCACCCGCAACCTACCCAGATTGGTTTAGCGACAAAATCGGAGCCTGCGTTGGGCTCGTGGTATAATTTGTCAAACTTTGGCGCTTGCGGCGGGCTTCTCCAGAGTCTCGCAAACTGCCGACGTCCCCATCGCCCCCCCACCCCTATCCGCATCTGCGGGGTGCTACGATAAATGGTTATTTATAAGGAAAAGGAATGGAAGGGGGACGAGGAGGAGGAGGAGGAGGACGAGGAGGAGGAGGAGGAGGAGGAGGAGGAGGAGGAGGAAGAGGAGGATGAGGAAGAGGAGGGGAGGGGAGGAGGAGAGGAGGAGGAGGAGGAGGAGGAGGAGGAGGAGGAGGAGGAGGAGGAGGAGGAGGAGTAGGAGGAGGAGGTGGAGGAGGAGGAGGAAGCGGAGGAGGAGGAGGGGGAGGAGGAGGGGGAGCAGGATGATGAGCAGGAGGAGGAGGGGGAGGAAGACGAGGAGGAGGAGGAATCTTAAACATAATAAGAGTACGACTGTTAGTAGTAATAGTAAGAAGAATTTGGCAACTAAAGAATAAGGGCACTAAGAAGACGAATAATACGAGTACGACGAATACACATAATACTAATATAACTACTAAGAAGACGAACGATACTACTCATAATAAGAATACTAATACTGAAATGTTGAGTAAGCATAATAGTCAGAATAATACTGAGCATATTATTAAGAAGTCTACTACGAATAATAATAATACGAAGACGACGAATACGAGGACACAGAGGAGACGGATGAGGAGGAGGAGTTCGATGTTTTGGAGGAGTTGGGGCAGGAGGAGGTGCTGTTGATGCTGTTAATGATGCTTCTGGTAATGCGCATGATGAGGATGGGGATGATGATGAGGATGATGATGCTGATGATGATGATGCCGATGATGATGATACTGATGGTGCAGATGATGCTGATTCTGATTATTATGCTGACGATGGTTATGACGCTACTGACGACGAGGGCGATGCTGATGATCCTGATGATGCTGCTGCTGAGGATGCTTGTGATGATGATGCTGATGATGATGATGATGATGATGATGTTGATGCTGCTGCTGATGATGATGTCGATGACGACGACGATGATGGTGATGACAGTGATGATGATGCTGTTGATGATGCTGCTGCTGATGGTGCTGATTTTGACGATGCTGATGCTGATGCTGATGATGATGATTATGATGATGCTGATGATGGCGATGATGACGATGACGCTTAGGATGATGAGTATGCTGTTACTGCTGCTGCTGATGATGATGCTGATGCTGACGATGATGCTGCTGCTGATGATGCTGCTGATGCTGATGATGATGATGCTGATTATGATACTGAGCTGCTGCTGCTGATGATGTTGATGATGCTTATGATGCTGATGATGCTGCTGATGACGATGATGCTGCTGATGCCAATGATGATGCTGCTGCTGATGATGTTGATGCTGCTGATGCTGCTGATGATGCTGATGCTGATTATGATGATGATGCTGATGCTGATGATGTTGTTGTTGTTGATGATGATGATGCTGATGCTGATGATGATGATGATGCTGATGATGATGCTGCTGCTGATGATGATGATGGTGGTGGTGATGATGCTGACAATGCTGATGCTGATGCTGATGCTGATGCGGATGCTGATGGAGTTGATTATGACGTTGGTGATGCTGATGCTGGTGATGATGAGGAGGAGGAGGACGAAGAGGAGGAGGAGGAGGAGGAAGAAGAAGAGGAGGAGGAGGAGGAGGAGGAGGAGGAGGAGGAGGAGCAGGAGCAGGAGGAAATGGATGCGGAGGCGGATGTGGAGGCAGAGGCGGAGGAGGAGGCGGAGGAGGAAGGAGGAGGAGGAGGAGGAGAGGAGGAGGGGGAGGAGGAGGAGGAGGAGGAGGAGGAGGAGGAGAAGCTGGGACCGAAGTAGGAGGTAGGACGGGGTAGGAGCGTGCAGCCGGCGCCCTCCCCGCGAAGGGGGCGCGCCCCTTCCGACGGCATCCGGCGTGCGGCGGAGGTCCAGCGCTGGTCGTGCCTGCTGCTGCCCGTGCTGCTCGGGAGCGCGGCGTGCCTGGCGGTCGTGCGCCCCCGCGAGTCCAGCCCCCGCGGCAGTCTTGGCCCTCCGCGGGGCAGGGGGTTCTCTTCCATCCGCCCCGCCCCCGACTCCTCCTCCTCCGCCTCCTCCTCCTCCTTTCCCTCCCCCTCCTTCCCCTCCTCCTCTGCTTCCCCCCCTCTCCTCCTCCTCCTCCCCTCCTCCTCCTCCTCCTCCCTCCTCCTCCTCCTCCTCCTCCTCTCCTCCTCCTCCTCCTCCTCCTCCTCCCTCCCTCTCCTCCTCCTCCCTCCTCTCCTCTCTCCCTCCTCCTCCTCCTCCTCCTCCTCCTCCTCCTCCTCCCTCCTCCTCCTCCTCCTCCTCCTCCTCCTCCTCCTCCTCCTCCTCCCTCCTCCTCCTCCTCCTCCTCCTCCTCTTCCTCCCGCGCCAGGCACGGTGCAGGCCTGGGCGCTAGGAGGTGACGGAAATTGTCGTGTTGTATTCTGCCACACAAGGAACTGGTGCGTATCCCACTTGAAACGAACCCTTCTTCGATTCCACTCGCATTAACCCGTTGGTATCCCACCACAGACGGACTGCTCTTGAGATACAGAATTCTTCTTGCGGCGGGGTGCGACATTATTGCTTATGCGGCGGAATACACAAGGATTATATGTGTCGGATTACAAGACGAATTCCCTTTGCGGCGGAATCCATAAGGATACTATCTGGCCAGAGAGACAAGGATTCACGTCGTAGCAGAATGCCAAACGGAGTTTCTTGTGGTGGATCACTGAGGCATCCTTTTTTTGTGACAGAATGCAAAGGGAATCGTTAGGAGCTGATTACCTAGGGATTGCTTGTGCGTTGGAAAACAGAAGGAATTGTTTCCCCTTGTGGTGGGATACAAAAGGGTAGCTTTTGTGGCAAAATGCGAAAGGATTCTTTCTGTGGTCGGATGCTGAGGGGTCCTTTAGCGTGGTCGATTACGAAGGGATTCCTTCAGTGGTGGAGCGACTACCGAACTATTCTCTCTGCGGTCGATTACCTTTCTTTGTAGTGGAATACAACTGGAATCCATTTGTGGCACACGAATTCTTTTTAAAGCAGGATACAAAAGGATTCCCTTTGTGAGGAAACAGCGCTGGCAATCATAAAACAACGACAACAACATACACGCCCATATAATAATAATCAAACGAAACAACATACTGTGATTTCGGCAGGCCTGTGGCGATGACCCAGGACGACTTGCCCGAAAGACTTGTTTATCTAGTTGTCGTTGATTCTTGTTGTTTTTCCAAACCATCTTGTGGTATTGGGTCGTCGTTTTGAAGAGAGAGCGCCCCCAGTCATCTCCTCCCGCCCTCCTCCTCCTCCTCCTCCTCCTCCCTCCTCCCATCCCTTGCCTCTGCCCTCCGCATGTCTTCATTGTTGTCATATGCGCACATGCAGTTTCACTTCAATTTCGACGCACCCCTCACACGTTCCGTGGCCCATGGGCTGCTGAACTGGACACCCCAGTGGCAGGGTCAGCATGCAGTTTCACCCCAAAGCAGGCGCAACCCTCGCACGTTTCGTGGCCCCATAGGGTGCTCCGCCGAAGGCCTCAGTGGCAGGGTCCGCATGCAGTTCCACTTCAATTTCGGCATAACCCTCACACTGTCCGTTGCCCCGTAGGGTGCTCCACCGAAGGCCCCAGAGGCAGGGTCCGCATGCGGTACCACCTCATTCTGGTATATCCCTCATACGTTTCGCGACCCCATTCCACCGAAGGCCCCAGTGGCAGTGTTCGCATGCGTCCGCCCCATCCATGTCGGCATGCCCCTCGCACGTTTCGTGGCCCCATAGGGAACCCTACCGAAGACCCTAGGGGCTGCGTTCGCATGCGCTCACCGCGCCTATTTCGATACAATCCTCACACGGTTCGTGGCCCCATAGGAAGCTCCATCGAAAGCGATACACAACTGCGGTACCCACAACTGCATTTGGTTGGGTCCTTCGTCAGGCTAATTCTGGAGTTTGCCAACGCTGCTTGCTCTCAAAGGAAATCCTTTTCTATTCCACCACAAGTGGAATCCCTGGGTATTCCGCCATTCTGCCACAAAGTGAATCCTTGTGTATTCCGCCACAAACGGAATTCTTTTGTATTCTGCCACGAAGGGGATCCTCTGGTATTTCGACACAAGGGGGACCCTTTCGTATTCGGCCACGGAGGGGTTTCCTTTGTAGTCCGCCACATGAGGAATCCCTTGGTATTCAACCACATATGGAATCCTTCTGTAAGCTGCCCCACGGGGAACCCCTCAGTAATCCACCACATGAGGAATCCCTTCGTATTCCGCCATGCAGGGGATTCTTTTTGGTATTCTGCCACAAAGGGAATCCTTTTGTATTCCGTCGCAAGGGGAATTCTTTCGTATTCGGCTACAACAGGATTCCTTGTGTATTCCGTCACAGTAGGAATCCCGTTGTAATCCACCGCGTAAGGATTCTCTGTGTATTGCAGCAAAGGAAATCCTTTTGTATTCCGCCACAACGGAAATCCTTATGCATTCCGCTGCGCAGGACTCGTAATGGGCGCATCACAGAGGGATTCCATTTGTGGTGAAATACAACATGATTTATTTGAGCGAAATGGAACATATTGTTTCAGTCGAGTATACATGTATTCCCCGCGTGGCGGATTACGAACATATTTCGTTTGCTGTTTTTCTTAGTTTTTTGTTTGTTTGTTTGTTTGTTTGATTGTTTGTTTGTTTGTTTGTTTGTTATTTATATATACACATAGAAACACTCAAACCGCCCAGGCCTGTTTCGTGCCAAGCGCCCCTCCTCCTCCTCCCCCCCTCCTCCTCATCCTCCTCCGCCTTCTCCTGCTCCTCCTCCTCCTCCTCCGGGGCCCAGCAGCAGCCCCAGACTCGGGGGCTCCCAAATGGTGTGGTGGCCACACCTCGCTTTCGTAGGTTTGGGGACGTTTTCGTTGGTTTTCATACGTTTTCGTATGTTCCTGGGGGTTGTCTTGCCTCGGGATGCGTTCTACCAGCTGCGCCTCGCCGGGAGCGTTTGGGCGTGCCCAGATCGTTCCGAAAAGCCGCCATGAACCCCAGTTATGGTCCGGAAGCCAAATACATCTGGAGGGCAACTGTGGTGAGTCAGCGTCCGTGGGGCCCCCTTGTCCTGGCGGGGGGCCGGCCCGCCGCGGGAGACCAGCCGCTTGCCGGGAGAGCTGAGGACCGCGGGCGGTTTGCGCCCGAGGGGGGGGCCTCAAGGGGGCGACGGGCGGGATCGAGGGAGGAGGAGGAGGAGGAGGAGGAGGAGGAGGAGGAGGAGGAGGAGGAGGAGGAGGAGGAGGAGGAGGAGGAGGAGGAGGAGGAGGAGGAGGAGAGGAGCAGGAGGAGGAGGAGGAGGAGGAGGAGGAGGTCCTCATAACAAGTGGCGCGCGTGCCATGGCTCTTGCACAGAAAAGAAGGGGGAGAAGGCGAGAGGGGCGCGCTGGCTGGTGGATAATGTGACGGAGGGGGCACTCGGGATGGGGGGGCGGTGCCGTGCCGAAATAAAGGGGTCGGGGCGGAGGGTGCGCGTTGGCTGTGGGTGGGGTGATGCAGAGGGGCGCTCGGGATGCTGGGGGCGGTGCCGTGCCGAAATAAAGGGGTCGGGGCGGGGGGCGTGGTGCCGCGCCGAAACAAAAAGGTTGGGGCGGAGGGGGCGTGCTGGCTGGCGGGTGGGCGGGCGCAGGGGGGGCGCGGGCGGAGGGGGCGCGCTGGCTGGTGGGTGGGAGGATGCGGAGGGCCTACAGAAGGAGGTCGAGGCGGGGCGGTGCGGTGCCGTGCCGAAATAAAGGGGTCGAGGAGGAGGTGGCGCTCTGGCTGGTGGGTGGAGGGTTCGGAAGAGGTGCGCGGGATGCGGGGAAGCAGTGGGCGCTCTGGCTGGCGGGTGGGGGGAAGCCGAGGGGGCGCGCGGGATGGGAGGGGGGGGGGTGTCGTGCCGAAAAAGAGGGGTCGGGATGGAGCGGGCGCGCTGGCTGGTGCGTGGGGCGATGCAGGGGGGGCGCGCGGGATGGGGTGGGCGGTGCCGTGCCGAAATAAAAAAGTCGGGGCGGAGGGGGCGTGCTGGCTGGTGGGTGGGGCGATGTGGAAGGGGCGCGCGGGATGGGAGCGGGGTGGTGTCATGCCGAAATGAACGGGTCGGGGCGGAGGGGGCGGTGCCGTGTCGAAATAAAGGGGTCGGGGCGGAGGGGGCGCGCTGGCTGGCGGATGGGGGGATGCGGAGGGGGCGCGGGCTGGACGGGGCGCGGCTGGTAGGTGGGAGGATGCGGAGGGCTATAGCAAGGGGAGCGCGCGCTGGCTGGTGGGTGGGAGGGTGGGGAAGATGCGCGCGGGATGGGGGGGGCCGTGCCGTGCCGAAATCAAGGGGCCGGGGCGGAGGGGGCGCGCAGGCTGGTTGGTGGGGGGATGCGGCGGGGGCGCGCGGGATGGCGGAGGCGGCGCCGTGCCGAGACAAAATGATCGGAGCTCTAGACACCCTGTGCAAGATACTTCCACGCCTACTGAGGTTAGCGACCCCCGCGCCGACCCCCAAGCAGGGCCGCCTGGGTGTGCCCCCCCCCGCGGCGCGCCGCCGCAGGACGCAGGCCCTCGCCTTCGCGGACGCCGCGCGACACGCGCTGGCGGAGGGTCCCGCGGCGGAGGCGGCGGAGGCGGCGCGGCACGCGCTCGTGGAGGAGGTCCCGGCCGCCGCGGGCGAGGCCCTGGGCGCGCTGCCCTGGCCGGCGGTCCCATCTCCGCCTCCCCCCTTCCCCAGACCTCGGGCGCCTCGAAGAAAATAGAGGCGGAGGTTTTTTCCTCGTTTTTTCCGCTCCTCGGGGCCCTCGCAGGGCCTCGGGGCCGTCAGAAGTCGGCTCGGGAGGGAGAAAGCCGGTCTCGGGGAAGTGTGGTCGGGAGGTCGGCGGCCCGTGTCTGTAAGCAAGATCGAGGCGTCGGAGGTCTGGGTCCTCCCTCGTGTGCGCCCTCTCCTGGGGCCTCCCTGGGGTGAGGCCCTCGTCGACATGGGCGGGTTCGCCTCGAGATTCTGGTCAGGACGCACCCGGGAGAGGTCCGGGGAGGAGTGGCATCGGTACCTTTAGGCTTCCCCACTCGCTCCCTTCATCCCTCCATCCCCCTCCCTCCTTCCCCTCCCCTCCCTCCCCTCCTTCCCCTCGCGCCTCTCCCTCCCTCCCTCCTCCATCCCCTTCCTCCCTCACTCCCGCTATCCCTCCCTCCTGTCATCCCTCACAAGACCCCCTCGCATCGTGGGCACACATCGCGACGGATGGTTTCTGGCCGTTTTCGGCCCCTGGGGGCCCTTACGTGGCCTCCAGGGGCCATCATTGAAGCGACTTGGGATGACAAGCCAGTTCCAGGGAAGAGGTGAATACCGCCGGCGGTCCACCCCTCTCCGTCCTCCACTCTTCGGATGCAACTCCTGGGAGGTCGAACTCAGCGTCGGCGCTGGAATGTCCTTGGTCGAGCACTCGCCTAATCAGGCATTTTCCTGATTACTCTTGCTTCATCCGGCTCAGTCCCGAGCTTCATCTGAGCTTGTTGGGCTTACTGGCCGCTCAGTCGGGCTTACTTGCCTGCCATCTTTCTTAAAAGACTTCCTTGGAGTTGTATCGTAACCCCCCTCCCCTTCCCTCCCTCCATCCCTCCTCCATCCCCCTCCCTCCTTCCCATCCCTCCTTCCTCCTTGGGAACGACACATTCTGAGTACTACTCTTCTCTCTTTCCTGACTCTGCCTGGAAGATGTTCGGCCCTCTCCCCGTATTCTTGTTTGTTGTTTGTTGTTGTTTTGTTTTGTGTGTGTGTTTTTCCCCATCGGACTTCACACATTATTGTTTCACGCGTTTTTTGCAGTCTTGTTGGCTGAAGCACGGCGTCGATCCGAATGGCGCTCTCGCCCCAGTTCGGGCCGCTTTTCTGAATCCGAGTCATTTTTCATCGTTGCCGCCCCCCTCATTTCTTATCCTCCGCCTTCCCCTGGTCCTCCTGATTATCCTGCTCCTTCCATTCCAGTTCGTGCTGCTGCTGTTCGTCCTCGTCCTTTTCCTTTCTTATCCTCCCGCTCATCCTCCCCTTTATCCGCCGCCACCGGCATTTTTTGTCCGACTGCGCAAAACACGATAGGGTCCTCTTTGGAGTTCCATGTCCGCTATGACACTCGTCGGCGGCTAAAAAAAACAGCGCAATGCGAAGGGATGGGTGGAAGGGGAAGGATGTTAGATATGGCGCGAGCGCACCTAGCTTGGCCTCCCCTCTTCTCTCTCTTTCCCTCCATCCCTCCTCCATCCCCCTCCCTTCCTCCACCCACCTCCCTCAGACCCCCTCGCGTCATGGACAAACATCGCGACGGACGGTTTTGGCCGTTCTCGGTCTGCGGTGTTCTGTACCGGATCCCGGGGCCGTCAGTAACGATTCGGAATGAAAAGCTGGTCCCAGGGAAGGTCAGCCACGCGCAGAGGGGGGTGGTGGGAGGGGGGAGGGCTCCTTAGAAGCACCCCTGCTTCTTAGAAGGCGCGGGCCTTATCTGTAGATGTAAGGCCGGCGCCTTCTAAGAAGCAGCCTCCTTCTAAGAAGCCCTCCCCCCTCCCTCCACCCCCTTGTGCGCGCCGCCAAGAAGGGGTAGGGATTTCTGGGGATCCACGTTGTGAGCAAGTCATGGCCTCGGGGCTCTGGGTACCCCTCCCCCTTCTCCCCCTCACCCCATCCTCTCCTGCACCTGCCTCCTCTGCTAAAACGACGCGAAGATCGGGACAAAATCGGATCGGGATAACTCGAAATCTCTGAGAATCGGCGGGTTTGGAGGATGTATTGGGCGCCGCGGCCGCTCCAGAGCGTGCCGCAACGCTCTGAGAGCGCTCTGGAACGCTCTGGAGCGATTTATCCCGATCCTAGCCTTATTTTATCTGCAACCACCAAGAATGCGACTCTCTTCTTTCCCGTCCAGCCCGAGTGGGGCAGCGTTTCTTCCGCAAGTTGTTTTTCTTTCCACGTATCGGTTTTCAGAGGGTGATGCTTCATGCGCTTTTTCAGTCAGAACGTTTGCGGCGTTTCAAAGCAGTACTCTCGCTGCAGCGTTGGCCTCATGTTCGGATCGCCACTTTGCTCCCGTCGTTCAGACTGGTGCTCTCTCCCAAGTGCGGACCACTGTTCTGGATCCGATTCCTTCTTTATCGTTGTCTCCCCGCTCCACCTTCCTTCGCCTTTCCCTGGACCTCCTGCTCCTCCAGCTCCTCCCACCTCTGTTTCTGCTGCTGATGCTCCTCTTCATCCTCCTCATTCCATGTACTCCTCCCCTTCCTCCTGCTCATCCACCACCTCTTCCGCCTCCTTTTCCTCCAGCGTGCGTAGCTCCCGTTTTCTGTTTGCGACTGGGGGGTCCCAAGTCTGCTGTGACACCCGTCGGACAGAAACATCAGCGCCATCAGGGGCTTGGGTGGGATGGGTCGGAGGTCAGATATGGCTCGGGCGCACCGAGCTTAGCTGGGTTGCTCCCGGTGTGGCCCAGGACTTCAGGAGGGGGACAAACATACACAGACACAAGTCATCGTCGATCCCTCGGAAAAGATGGGGAAATCTGCAAAGTGGGGGGGAGGACGAAAACCCAGAGAATATAGGAGAACATAGGGAATCCTGGGACTTGTGTGCACTCATTTGTGTGCCCCAGGGCCCCTTTGGGTCTGACCTCCCGGAGGTGCCTCGGTCCGACCCGCGGGGGCCGGTGCGGGCAGAGGCCGCCGGCCACCACACGTTTACACTGCCTGGCCCTCCTGTTGGTTCGCACCACGTCGGCGCACCCCTCACGCGCTTCCTGGCCCCATCGGGTGCTCCACCCGAGGCCCCAGCGGCAGGGTCCGCATGCAGTTCCACCCCCACGTCGGCGCACCCCTCACGCGCTTCGTGGCAGCATAGGGTGCAGCGTTTTTGTGGCAATGCTCGGCACCAGGCGGAATCCTAGTCACGTCTGCCCGCCCCCAGGCCGCTGCTCGGAGTCCCCTCGGGTCAGCGTGCAAGGGCCTCGGGGTTTGAGTCGTAGAAGTGTGATGTTTGACTGCTCAAGCGATTCGCTCGTGCTCGTTTGTCTAACATGCAAATGCTTCACTGCTGGTGCTCGCCTGGCCAAGCTCGGAGAGAGTTGTGTGGGGCGGACGAAGGACCCCAAGACAGACAAAAACACGTATAACCAGGATTCTTGGAAAAACCATCCCAAAGAAAAGAGTGACCCTGTTGTCTTACATTTTCAGCGTGCTTCAGTCATGCAGCGGGGCCGTAGTGCTCATCATGCTCCCTGCCCTCTCTCCTCCCTCGTCCTTTCCCCTCAGGTCTCTCCTTTTTTCCCTCCCTCCATCCTTACTCCTCCTTGCGGTCGAGCGCTCGCCGAAGCCGGCAGCCGCTGCCGGTGGTCATTACATAATAGATCCATATTGCCATCAATGCCCATAACCCATGGACTTCGAATCGGGTGTCGCCATTTTCGGCTTCCGGAAGGCAGGTATTCTTGCGCTGCGGCGATAATTGCCGCCTGGGGGATCGGTCTTCAGGGCCTCGCCTCGGCAGGCGGTGGATATGGCTAGATTCGAGCCTTGGGGGGGCCAAGTATATCCATGTCCACCGCCTGCCGAGGTCTCTGAGAATCGATCTGCAAGGCAGTGGTGATGGACACATCTGCGCCTCGCTGTTTTGGCCCCAGGGCTGTGAAGCATCGACCTGGGATAGAGCAGACGTTGTGGCGACTTTCGTGGCCCCACGAGGTCCAGGGGAGGAGAGCAGACCAGTACCGATCGCTCTTACCCTGCTTTCGCACTTTGGGGAGGCCTTCTGGCTGCCTGGGCGGACTCGTCGCCACAGCCGGACAACGCAAGAGTGACCCCTCGCCAGAGGGACCTCGGGTGCCTGGCCCGCAGGGGTCCCCCCCCCGCACTGGCCCTCGCGCCAGGATTTGGCTCCCCCGCGGCCGCAGTCTGCAAGAGCCGCGCCACAGGGGGTCACTCTTGCCTGGCTCCCCCGTGGGAAAGTAATGCAACTGTTGCACGTCGTGTCAAGAGCCTCCTGGGGGACTCCCCCGGGAGAAGCGTTTCGGGGCGGGTCCGTTGGTGGCGGTCCCGGGGCCCGGAAGCGACGGCCCTGGGAGGCCACAGGCGACGAAACGCTGCAGGCGACGAACACAAACAAATCGACGATTCAAGTTGCATTACTTTTCCGGGGCAGTGTCCGGTCATTCGTTGCGCGTTGCTTACAAGAATCCTGGTCAGAGTGCGGCCAGCGAGAGGCCTTGCTGTTCCGCCCAGGTGGGACGCGGCCCACCCGGGCGCCCATGCACTCCGAAGCCGACTCCGACGCGGCGCCGCCTGTCCTGAACAGCGCTGGCGCTGGCGCGTCGACGCCTAACAAGAGCGTCGCCATCGCCGGCGCGGGGCGGGTCAACGAGAGCAGCGCCAGCTCTGGCGCGGGGAGGGCCAGCGAGAGCACCGCCGTCGCTGGCGCTGGGCGGGCTAGCGAGAGCACCGCCGTCGCTGGCGCTGGGCGGGCTAGCGAGATCGGCGCCAGCACGAACGCCACGAGACATGTGGAAAAGGCTGGCGCTGGCGCGGGGCGGGCTGGCCAGAACAACGCCAGCGCGAGCGCCACGAGACACGGGAGCAGGGCCAAGCGGCTGCGCACCACCGCGACGCCGTCCACAACAACAATTTCGACTACGGCGCTTCCGCGGGGAAGAGAGGAGGCGGAGGCGGAGGAGCTGGAGAAAAGAGACGGAGGAGGAGGAGGAGGAGGAGGAGGAGGAGGAGGAGGAGGAGGAGGAGGAGGAGGAGGAGGAGGACGTGGAAGAGGAGGAGGAGGAGGAGGAGGAGGAGGAGGAGGAGGAGGAGGAGCAGGGACCACGCAGGGGGGGCCAAGGACATTGCATATCTCGACGGCTCCCCTTGTGCTGAAATGGCTCCTTTGGTGGAGACCGTGCCTTCTGGTAATAGAGAGTTGCATGTGAAGGCGCACAATAATTCTGGATACTTGGCCGGCTTCCTCTGTATAGCGAACATTCCCTCGTGCGGTTGGTCAGAGCGGCGGCATATTGACATTGGCGACACGGACCGCGGCGGGCGTACACAGAGATACCCTTGAGGTCATCCTGATGTTTGACCCAGTCGGAGAGAGAGAGAGAGAGTTGGATAACAGAGTTAACATTGTGATCATGAGCCTCGCTGTTTTTTGTATATTTTTCGGTTGTTTGCGCCCTCGAAGGCAAGACACCCGCTTCTTCGTTTGTCAGCTCGACGAGTTGAAAAGTGAATTTCCTCCCAGGGAGTGGGTCTCAGCAGTATACGTATGTGGCATGCAGGGAAGCAAGGCAGTGGTGACCGCCGCTGCTTCACGGTACAGCCATCGTGCGCCGCCGGCCGTATTCCTCAACATCAAGGCTCCGGATGCATCCTGCTCAACCTCGTTGTGCGCGCCGGGTGCCCGCTCGAACGCCGCATGGCCCGAGGTAACAGGTGGCAGGTAATAGGAGCAGCCGAATGATGATGATGACTCGCCAGCTTCAGCGTCGGCGCTAGGCAACGCTGCCACAAGAGGACCTGGTGCCTTCGAGAACGTTGCACTGCAGTCCGAAACCAGGGTCCGAGTGCCTCTTGGAAGGTGTGGTTTCCCAAACAGTAGGTTTCACCCGCCATGGCCCAGAATTCGGCACGGCATCGGGAGGACGAGGAGGTGAAGAGGAAAGAAGACGTCCAGCACGGCGCTGTCATAAGCAGCTTGTATCTGCTCGCGCTGTTTGTCCCAGGCCGCTGCTGCGTGCTGCGACCGAGGCCGCATATCTCCGGCAGGCCAGGGGTGTCGACTCCTTGGCCCTTCTGCGCCTGCCAGGGGGGAATCAGGGAAGGGTAGCAACCCTCACCAGTTCAGCACAGGTCAGCTCGGTGGCGGATCCTCCGCCGCCCGCGCGAATGCGGTAGCAAATCATGGGAGCCTGGTATACCCTCTGCATTCCGTCTGTAGCGCCGGTTAGCGTCGATTAGTGTTTGGGAGTCGATGAGGTAGCGCCGACTTAGCGTCGGCTAGCGTCGATTACCGTCGATTTAGCGTCGATTCGCATCGATGTAGCGTCGATTAGCGTCGATTCGCAAGAGCCGACAAGATAGTATGGGAGGATCCCATGAGTTGCCAGAGAACGCGAAACGACTTGGACGGCCTGGGTGTCGATTGGGGTGCAGGACGGGGTCGAGGCGTGGGCGGAGCTGCTGGCGCCGAGTGGGCGAGAGCACGGTGCGCAGACCGCACGGCAGCCTCAGGACGAGGAGGAGCAGGAGGAGGAGGAGGAGGAGGAGGAGGAGGAGGAGGAGGAGGAGGAGGAGGAGGATGAGGAGGAAAAATTGAGGGAGGAGGAAGAGGACTGCTCCCGCCCTCATGGGCCACTATTCTGTGCTGGTCTCTCTGCCCTTCTTCTTTTTCCGACCCGTCCGAGGCCTAATTCGTTGGCCACCTCGCCGAAGTCGGCGACTTGTGTCTGCACCATTTCCGCACGCAGCAGGTTAACCCTGATGTCCGAGCAACGGCAAGAAGGAGGAGCAGGATGACGAGCCGGAGTAGGGGGGACGGAAGCAGTGGGGACGGGGACGAGGAGGGGGACGGGAAGGGGAGGAGGACGGGAGGATGTTGGGAAGGAGGCCTGGAGGGGTGCGAGAGGAGGAGGGATGGAGGCAGGAGGAGAGAGGTTACTTCGACTGCGTCGGCCTCGGCACCGCGGTGCGACAGCTGTGCGCCGGCGGAGCGCGGCCGGCCAGACGTGATGATTCCCGTCTTCGAGCGCGACCTGTGCAAGCTGAAGGTGGGTCCCCCCTCGCCCCATCGGGGGAGGATCGAAGACAAGACAACAGCATGCACGTGATCTGTTGGAGCTCCGCGCGGATCTCTTGGATCCGCGCTGGTGCTCCTTGGCGGCGCCGCCAGCGCCGCCCCCGGCGCGCTCCGCGCGCCAGGGAGGGAGGTCCAGCGCCGACCCAAGAAATCCACGCATAGCTCCGAACATATCTGGTTATCTTCTGGAGGAGGAGCACTACGTTCGGACTGAGGTATAAGATCCAGGTCGGCTCGGGGAGGGTATACCCTCGTGTTCTTTGTGCTTGTTGGGTGTTTTCTTGTGCATCCTGGGGGAGGGCACCCGGGTACCCTTGGAGGTTCCGCGTGATTTGGCCAGCGGAGCGTCGCATGTTCTCGAGGGATGTGTTCCCGTCTTCTCGTCCGACCGCAGCATGCTTAATGGGGACGAGGGGCAGTCGAAGCACCGAGTCCGCATGCTCGTCCTCCTCGTGGTTCTTCTGGTCGGAGCGCACCCTGGGAGAGGTCCGGGGAGAGGCGGTATCTGTATTTGAGCTGTTCCCCCAGGGAGGAGTACGGCGGGTATAGTGTGAATCGGGGAGGGCGGGGAGGTCTGGGAGTGGGAGGAGCACGGAGGAGGAGGGACAAAGGATGAGGCTCCTTCCACATCGCTCTTCCCGCCTTCCCCTCCCTCCCTTGCTTCCTCCCCCCTTCCTCCAGTTGTCTCCGTTCTTTCCCTTGTTCCCCGCCTCCATGCTCGATCACCCCTCCTCCCTCCTTCCCCCTTTCCCGATACTCCTTCCTCCTGCTGCTCACTTTCTGCCTGCTCCCTTCCTCCTTCTTCCGGATGCTTCTCCTCTTCCTCCTTCCCCCTCTCATCCCCCCTCCCCCTCCTCAAGGTTACCGCGAGGTCTATCGTCGCACACGACCCAGACGGTGTCCTCGGCAAGGTGCTCATCTGCTGGGTCTCGCAGGCGGCGCGGGGGGAGTTCACCGACCAGCTGGACGAGATCACGCGCATCCTTGAGGAGCAAAGGGCAGTGGAGCAGTTGGGGGTGAAGGCGGGAGTATCGTTCGACGTGCTCGGCATGTCTTCAACGGCTTTACACGTTTTTTGGCTCGGCTTCGAAGCTTCTGGACACCTTTGGAGGACTCTGGGGTGGGGACCTTCCGAGAGCCTCTTGGAAGTGCGGAGGACGACCAGCAGGAGGAGGATGGGGGGGATGGGCAGGAGGAGCTGGGAGGGGGGAGCTGGGAGGAGTGCCCGGCCGAAACGCCTGGCCCTGGTGGACACCAGACTTGGGAGAGGTCTGGTGCTGGGGCCACAGTTGCAGCAGGAGGAGGAGGAGGAGGAGGAGGAGGAGGAGGAGGATGAGAAGGAGGAGGGGAGGAGGATGTGAAATCTGGCTTTCGATGGGAGGGTGATGTGGACGAGGATGACCCATGCTTTCGTCGCGTGGGGGTAACAGTCACGACGGAGGTCTTCTCTGTCCGTGCAGCTTTCGGCCCCTCGGGTCCCGTTCTGGGCCCTAGAAGGTCAACAAGACGACTCGGGATGGATCGCCGGCCCCGCGGAAGCGGCCCAGACCTCTGGGGGGCCCACGCTGGAGATGGGAAGGAGCCGGGCGGTTGCGGTCTCAGCTTCCTGACGGGTGGTCATGCCTTGGCCCTCAAGGCGCGAGCTCTCCCAGGGGCTGATGGGCCTCGAGGGGGAACCTTGGGAGGGGGGAGGAGGAGGAGGAGGAGGAGGAGGAGGAGGAGGAGGAGGAGGAGGAGGAGGAGGAGGAGGAGAGGAGGAGGAGGAGGAAGAATAAGCAGAAGAAGAAGAAGAAGAAGAGGAGGAGGAGGAGGAGGAGGAGATGTAGGAGGGAGGAGAGGAGGAGGAGGAGGAGGAGAGGAGGAGGAGGAGGAGGAGGAGGAGGAGGAGGGGAGGAGGAGGAGGATGTAGGAGAAGGAGGAGGAGGAGGAGGAGGAGAGGAGGAGGAGGGAGGAGGATGGAGAGATGGAGATGGAGGAGGAGGAGGAGGAGGAGGAGGAGGAGGAGGAGGAGGAGGAGGAGGAGGAGGAGGAGGAGGAGGAGGAGGAGGAGGAGGAGGAGGAGGAGGAGGAGGAGGAGGAGGAGGAGGAGGAGGAGGAGGAGGAGGAGGAGGAGGAGGAGGAGGAGGAGGAGGAGGATAAGAATACTAATAGTAATAATAATAATAATAATACTAAGAAGAAGAAGAAGAATAAGAAGAGGAGGAGGAGGAGGAAGAGGAGAGGAGGAGATGAGGAGGAGGAGTGTAGGAGAAGGAGGAGGAGGAGGAGGAGGAGGAGGAGAAGGAGAAGGAGGAGAGATGGAGAGAGATGGAGATGGAGATGGAGGAGGGGAGGAGGAGGAGGAGGAGGAGGAGGAGGAGGAGGAGGGGAGGAGGAGGAGGAGGAGGAGGGGGGCGCAAATCCCCGAGGAGCACGGGGAAGTGGAGGTGCTGGAGATGCAGCTGGACGGAGTGACGGGCTGGCTGGCGCAGCAGTCGGCGAAGCTCAAGGTGGCCAGCCGCGCCTCGTCGGAGTACTACGTCGTGCTGGACGCCAAGAACGCGCTCCTGCGGTCGAGCAGAAAGAAAACGTGGGCATCAACTTCGGCAGGTCCGCGCGGATTTCTTGCATCGGCGCTGGGCTCCCTCCCCTTGCACGCGGAGCGCGCCAGGGGCGGTGCCCCAGGCGACGCAAGGGGGGCCCAGCGCCGATCCCCCCCAAATCGGCCCGGACCTCCAGAAATTTGTGCTGACGCTTCTCTGAATTTGTTCCATGAGGGATATGGAGCCCGACGCCTTCTTCACCCCGTGCAACCAGGCGAAGGTCTTCGGCCGATATCGCATGGACGACATGCCCGCGGAGCACAGGTCCTGGTTCGAGGCTTCCGCGGGAGTGCTCGGCCAGCAGGCCATGGAGTGGGGGACCTGGCCCGCGTCGGTCACCCCGATGGTGCTTCACAGACAGACGACCCTGGACATGCTGAGCATGCTTGGCGAGTCGCCGGACTCGGCGTGATAACAACTCTTCTCATGCCCGTGGCCATGCCACAGCCCCAACATAAACACCATCCTCGGAGGCCCGCGCGGGCGCCTTCGAGCGGCGCCTGGGCCCCCCCGGCGGTGCCCCCAGCGCCACGCGCCAGGGAGGGGGGGCCCCAGGCGCCGACCCAGGAGCTCCGCGCGGACCTCCCGCAGCCCCTGCCCCTCCGCGGTTCGGCCCCTGCGCACCGCGCCGCGGGGGCCTCCGCGGCCCCGCCGATCCTCGCCCCCGGCCTGGCGCGCAGCAGCTCGGCCCCCGGGGCCGAGCCACTGGGCACCGCGCCGCGCTGGGGCGGGGCCTGCGGGGAGTCCACTGTATGGACTGGCGCGGTGCACGGGCGCCATCCTGGTGGGCCCAGTGCTCACCGGCGCTCGTGCGCACCTCTCTGGCTCGCTCCTGCCTGCCCGCCACCCCGCCTCTCTCGGCTCCCGCCCTCGCCTCCCCCGCTCTCCTTCCCTTTCCAGCTCCGGCTTGGGCTGCTGAGCTGCCGCGTGGCTTTCCCGGGCCCCCGTGTCTCCGATTCCAGCTCCGGCCGTCCCGACTCCAGGCCCGACTCCGGCACGCATCCTCGCCGTCCCGACCGACTCTGCGTCCTGCCCCTGCGACTGTGGCTCCCGCCCCACCGGTTTTGGGCGCCGTTCTTGTATAGCCTCTGCTTGCCGTTTTTGCCTCGTCCAGGACTTCACTTCCGCCTGCGACGGAGGCCTGTGCGACAGCCTGCGCCAGCAGGCCACAGAGTTCACGCTGTACCTGGTGTACGCTGCGCGCATCGCCCGTTTCGACTGCATCCACGCCATCGAGGAGCGCCCCTGGGACGACGAGCTCTCTGCGTCCATCCCGGAAGAGCAAACAGCGGCGCAAGCATGAACTTTCCGAGGTCCGCGTCGGCGCCAGACCCCGCTTCCCACACACACCTCTCCCCTCAGCTCGGAGCGCGACGGGAGCGGCGCCAGAGGCGCCTCCAGGGGTGTGGGCAGGGGTCTCTGGCGCCGACTCGAGATTCATTTGAGGCTCCAGGAGCCAGGACTGATGGCCTGATGTTCCACCACCCCTGCCACAGGTAGGAGAGGGAGGAGGAAGAGAAGGAGGAGGACGACGAGGAGGAGGAGGACCTCCCGCCCTGGGGGCCCTGATTCGCATGGGCCTCCGAACGGTTTTTGGTTGCTCGTGAAGTGTGTGTCTTCTGGCCGTCTGGCGCAACAACGACGTGGGCACAGCGGGCCAGGTCGAGGCCATGGCCGAGCACTCCGACCTCAACGGCAACCCGCTCTTCTTTGGAGCGCAGGCGGGCGCGCTGGACGGCTTTCGCGACACGGAGCGCTTCAAGATTCTCAGCGGCCTCTTCTCCGTGTACGAGAACGCAGGCCTGTATGACTGGGACAACTGGGACGACATGGCAGACTGCATAGTCGGCGCATGGCAGTGATGTGGCGAGGCGATGGGCAGGATAAGGAGGAGGAGGAGGAGGAGGAGGAGGAGGAGAAGGAGGAAGAGGAGGAGAAGGAGGAGGAGGAGGAGGAGGAGGAGGATGTGCATTGTTTCTATCTGTGTTAGGTGTCGTGGCCAGCTGGTTTTCTTCCCAGGTCCTCACAGGGCCACGCCACTGGCTCTGAGCCTGTCTGCATGATCAGTGTGGCATTCAATTGCATACTGTACTCGAGCAGGCCATCGTTGTTCTCTGTGTAGTTAGTACTCGAGTAAAGCCCCCGCCAATGTTGCGGGGACCATTGCGACACGGTCTAGGTCTAGTAGTAAGTTGGCAATGCAGAATTGCATTCTGCCTACAGTGTTACAGTGTTGGCTTGGGATCATATTTGCCTCGGCGCTTTTAGGCGGTTTTACGCTAAGGTTGCTGTATGCTTGCATCAATTTCGACACAAGTTCTTCGTGCGGGAATGGCAGGTATGTCTTGGGATCGTGTTATTACCTTCGCGTCCCCGTTGCATGGGTTGATCAGCACATCCTTTTCTTCCTCCCCTTTCCTTGTGCTGCAGCATCCTCATTCGCGCTCATGGCTAGCAAGCTCCATTCCCGAGGCCGTTTGGGCCCACACCCCTGGGGCTCCCTCCAGCCGTGCGCTGAGCGAGCCTGGCACAGCAGCCGCGAGAGCGATGTGCCAGCACCTGCGTGCAGAGACTGCCTCCGCAGCTTCGGCAGCGGGGCTCGAGCCGTGCTCTGGCAAACCCCTGGCCCCAGCCACGCGCCCTGGCAGTCCCTCCCGCGGGGCTGGCCGCTCGGCCTCCGAGGGAGGCGGCATCGGCAGAGGCCGTGGAGGGCCGCGTGGAGGCGAGCAGGCAGAGCGTCGGCCGTGGCGGCAGGGAGGGCCCGAGCGCGAGGCGGGGGAGCTGGAGTTGCCGTTGACGCTCAGCGCAGCCGGCGAGGCAGCACAGCGGCTCCGGCGGCTGGTCCGACGGTCCGAGTGATGACGTCGGAGGCGGCGACCGCAGAGGAGAGCAGCAACGACCGCCACGGGCGCGCCGAGGACGAGCAGTCGCTTGGCACAGCACCGTCGTCGAAGGGCGCCCTGCAGGCACTCGAGCGGTGCCTCGCCTCCCTGGGCGTTGCCAGACGTCGTGGGCGGGTGGGGGGGCGCCTGATTGTACAGCTCAGCCTTCCTGCAGATTTGGGTCCTCGTTTTCTCTCCGATGCGCCCCGCCCTCCTCCTCCTTCTCCTCCTCCTTCCTCCCTCCCTCCTCCCTCCTCCCTCCTTCCCCTCCTCCTCCTCCTCCTCCTCCCTCCTTCCCTCCTCCTCCTCCTCCCTCCTCCTCCTCCTCCTCCTCCTCCTCCTCCTCCTCCCTTCTCCACGTTGCCCCCCTTCTGCCCTCGCCGGGGATTTGGCACGCGCCTCTCGCGGAGCGCGCCTCCGCACGAGGCCCCACCTGTGGCCCCAGCGCCTCAGCCTACCACGGCGGCGCCGCGCCCATCCCGGCACGCACCCCTCGCGCGGCTCGTGCCCCACAGGGAGCTCCTCGTGGGCGCCAGACGCGTGAGGAATGCGCCGACGTTGGCAGGGCGGCACGACGCCAGCTCCCCCGCTGGGGCAGGAGGTGGAACTCCCTCGGGGGCACGATCCGTGTGGCGGGTGTGCCAAAGTAGTCACCGTGCCACGACGCAAGCTCATCCACTAGAGCCACAAGTGGCATAACCGGAAACAAATGGCATAAACATAAACTGATGGCGCGCGGAGCCGCTCTCCCCCGCGCAATCAAAACAATACGACATCTGCACAATCCTTAGCAATAAGGCATCCATATAATCAAAACCAATCAGAAATCTACGCACTCAAAAATAACATGAAACCCACACAATCAAAAACAGTCAGAACTCCGTACAATCAAACACAACAAGAAAGCCATATAATAAAACACAGTCAGAAACCATACAATCAAACATACTAAAGGAAACGTCTTGGTTAGAGGAGGATGATGATGATGATGATGATGATGATGATGATTAGGAGGAGGAGGAGTAGTCCTTCGCGCGGAAATCTTTTTTTTTGAGCCTTCGAATGTTTTGTTAATTTTCTAATGGGCTTCACTTGCATTCAATGACAGTCACAGGCTTCCTTGCCTTAGAGCTACGAGCCCTGTGAAGGTTCACAGGAACAAAAAGACGACAAACTTGTGAGGGTTTCACACAACAGAAAATCAATGGTTGCCGGGACTTCGGACTTGCTGCGGGCCCCTTCAGGCCAGATCCGCCCAGGCAGCCTGAAATCCCGAAAACCATTTTTTTTGGGAACACTAAGCAGCTAATGCAATCAAAGAGAGACAGACAGAGAGAAAAAGAGAGAGAGAGAGAGAGAGGAGGAGGAGGAGGAGGAGGAGGAGGAGGAGGAGGAGGAGGAGGAGGAGGAGGAGGAGGAGGAGGAGGAGGAGGAGGAGGGGAGAGCAGCAGGACGTGCAGGAGGTGGAGGAGGAGGAGTAGGGAGGAGGAGTAGGAGTGGTCCTTCGCGCGATTTTTTCTTTTGGAGCCCTCACAGGTCGGGGTTCCCAAGCAACTAAAGATCAATGGTTTTCGGGACTGCAGGCTGCCTGGGCGGATCTGGCCTGGAGGGCCCCGCAACAAGTTTGAAGTCCCGAAAGCAATTGATTTTCAGTTATTGGGGAACCCTCACAGGTGTTATCGTGTTTTTTTTTTTTTTTTTTTTTTTTTTTTTTTTTTTTTTTTTTTTTTTTTTTTTTTTTTTTTTTTTTTTTTTTTTTTTTTTTATATATATATATTATATATAATGTATAAATAACTATTATCAAAAAACAAAAACCTCATTGGCTTCGTAGCTGTAAGGCAAGGGAGCCGATGGTTGTCGTTGAAAAAAACCAAATCAGGGCGGCAGCCCGTCGTGCGGGGCTCTCCAGCTGTCGGGGGGCTGGCGGGCACTCTTCCTTTCTTCGCTTCCCGCCACACTTCATGCCACACGTGGATGCTCCCATGGACTCTCAGGAGGCTCAGGAGCTGGCCGCCGCCATCGAAGCTGCTCCCACTTCCCCGTCTCAGGACCGCGGCAAAAGGCAAAGGTGCCGCCCGTGCTGTTTCTCGCAAGCGATGTCGCTCGCTCTGGCCCTCCTGATGACGACCTCTCATCCGCGGAGTTTCTGCGGCAGCTGTGCAGAGAGGAGTTCTCCAACATGCGCCCTGCCCTCTCTTCCGAGATCGGTACCACCGTCGCAGGCACGAGCAACTCTAATCACACTGCGCTGTTGGACATGCTCTCTCAGATGCAGGCCGCAGTTGCTAAGCTGACGTCTGACGTGCAGCAGCACATTCAGAGTGCCATCGCCCCGGGGCTCGACGCTTTCCATCGTAAAATGCAAGCAAGCCGAGCTCGGTTACCACGCTGGCCTACTATCGTCTGCTCAGCGCCGCCTCGACTCGCATGACACGGAGATTGCTGAGCTCCGCTCGCAGATGGACGCCCACCGCAGGGAGCTCGTTCTCGCCAGCGAGACGCCGAAGCCCCAGGCCGCCACCCCGCCCTCGTTCGACCGTGACGCCGGCCCCGCCGTTTCCGTGGCCGTCGCTCAGGAGGTTACCGCCATCGCCAGTGTCCAGCTGGCCGTCGCCCCATGGCTCAAGTCTTTGGGCTTTGACCCCTCTGAGTTCAAGATCGAGCAGCGCTCGGCCTCGCCTTCTAGGCGTTTCGAAATCCTCTTCGCTGGGCCTCCTGGGGTTGCCGCTCGCAAAGTATCGAAGGTCCTCGCCAACCTCGAGTCCAATGGTGTGTGGAATGAGTTCTGGCCCCCCCCCTGGCGACGAGCGCTGCCGCCTCCATCTCGGCCCCGACAAGAGCCCCAAACGGATCAGACGTGAGGTCGCCTTTCGCAAGGCTCGTGCCCTCGTCGAGGAGAGTGCCCCGACGAGCGCTACTGCACCGACCGTGAGTGTGGTGTCCTCTCAGTTGGCTGGGGCAAAATCATGCGGGTCCAGGTCTTCCATGGCGGCGAGCCCCCGATGATCCTCTGGGACATCGCGCAGCTGGTCAATCATGGCATGTCAGACCACGCTCCGCGACGCCACCAAGCCGCTCACCGCGCCCGCGGGCCCCGGCCAGTGATCTCATTAGCGCTGCTCTTCTATTTTACTCACCGCGCGTTCCCGGCTCACCGTGGCCCCCGCTGCGCTTCGCGACCTGGAACGCTCGAGCTCTTCTCCAGGCTGGTGGCGACAAGGCCGCCCTGAAGCGCGACTACCTACTTCGGCTCCGCCCCGAGTCCACCCTCATCTCGCTCCAAGAGGTTCACCAGGACCACCTCCAGTTCTCTGCCTTCATCCACTGCTGCGCCCCGAATGTTGTCGTGCACTGCATTTTCTTCGGCCCGTCCCCCGAGGGTCGCATTCGCGGTGGTGTGGCTACTATCCCCCCTCCTCTCGCTGGCAGTTGTGAACTGCTGAGTGCGTCTGCGCAGAGGGTGCTCGTTCCTGGGCGTGCGCTGGCAGTCATTGTGTCCTCCTCTCGGTCTACCCTCTGCATCTCCGACGTCCAACCGCGACCTCTCCCCCGAGGGTGTCCAGCTCATCTCGCATGAGGTCCGCCGCGCCAAGGTCGCGGCCGACCTGGGCCCCGAGCGCGCCGTGGTCGTGCTTAGCGGGGGCTGCGATTTTGCCACCCGCGAGGCGGTCTGCCTGGTGTGCTGGTAGCTGCCGTGCGCCGTGGAGCTCGCCGCCATCGCGCTCGCGCCCCAAAGTGGCGAGAGTCCCTGGCGACCTTGACAAGGTTGAGCCCGACCAGCCGACTCGCCGCGAGAAAAAAGCTCGGAGTGCGGCGCCATCATCGATCGCTTCTGTTGCCCCCTTGTGGGCTGGAAGTTCTGCCACCTGGTTGTCGGCGCCTTCGCCGTTGACTCGGCCGCAGCTGTTTATGGCGAGAAAACCTCGGACCGCGCGGTGCTTGTGCTTTCGTTCCCCCCATCGTCCCGAGACGCCCATAGATCAGCGTGCCATCGACGAGCGCATTTTTCGGTTGCCCGCGTTCCAGAGACGTCTTGAAGGCCTCCCTGGGGCCGTCGACTGGCTCCGTCTTTCCCCCCAGGGAAGCTCGAGCTTTACAGGGCTCTGATGTGCTTCGCGGCTGCCGAGACGAGGGGCATGCTGTTTCGCGACCGACCCGGCCACCCCCGCGCTCTCCTCCAGCTCCGCCGTGCCATCGCTAGTGTTGTTTGGCGCCAAGACGTATCCTTGGCACTGCGGATTTGCGCGTCACACCCGCTCGCTGGTGATCTTATTGCGGTCTCTGGTGGTTCAGTCGAGCTCTGGCACCCGCCGAATTTCAGAGCGTGAGCCGACAAGGTTCAGTTGGAAGCTGCGGAAGTAACGAGGCGTGAGCTGGGGGCGCGGAGGCAGACGGAAGGCGACCGTGCCCAGATTCGTGCCCAATGTCGTTCTCTAGAACGCCGTGCTCGTCTTTGTGACAAAAAGGATCTGTCGGACTGCGCATGCTGGCGCGAATGGCGCTCGGGCCGAGGGCCCAGCTGGACGCGCCCATGCTCTCGCCGCCTTTTGGGCCCCAGTGTTCTCCCGCAAGGGTTGGGATGCTGCTGCCGCTCCCCCCTATCTCCGTGAACGCCCCCCCCCCCCCCCCTCCCCCCCTGCTGATGCCCATCTCCCGCCGCCCTCTCGTGCGATGCTTCGTGCTGTTCTCGGCGACGCTCTTCGCTCCGCGCCGGGCCCTGGCGCTCTCCCCTTATGCGGCGTGGGCGGCGCCACCGTTTGTCATTGACGTTCTCTGGGGAGCCTTCGAATGGCTGTGTCCTGGGCAGTCGCAGTTCGCTGGCGCCAGCGACGCCATCCAGATTTTCCGGCCCAAGAATGTATCTGACCTCGAGCTAGCCTCTGGAGGCTGCGTAAGAGCCCCTGATAAGGTGAGAGTCCTGGGCCTCAGAAGCTGCGACGCGAAGCTGATTTCGGCCGCGATCAATCGCGGGATTTGCCCCGCCCTCAAGGTTTGCGCCCCGCAGTGTCAGAGGGGCTTTATCCCTGGGAGACACTCGGGGACAACATCCTCGAGCTCGACGCACCTAGTCGCATCCTCTCGGTCGGAGAGCCTGGGCCCACCGAGATCTCCCTCCTGTTCAGCC